CCAGAAGTTGTTTTGTGGATTTGCCATAGAGTTAATGGGAGCTGAAATGTAGATTTTGCTACTTTTAGATGACTTGTTCATGTCCCCTAGAAGCAGAAGGAGGTTCTAATTTTTGGAAAAATTAAAATATTATTGCATGATTATACGGTGAGAGAAAAGTTACAAAACTCTTTTTTCTAAAAGGTGGTGGAGCAAGTACAATCTTAAAAATGTGCCTTGGGGCTTCTATGGAGACAAAATAATAAGGTGGATAATAAGGCAAACAAGTATAACATATTCTATGGTTTTCAGGGAAATATAAACACATATGGTAGAAATTTTATGTTTCATTAAATATGTTTCTTTGTATAACGGTAATGCTCATGAGTGTTTGAGATTTGAGAATGAATGAGAAAAAGACTTATAAATTGGATCTGTAGAAAGCCAGAGAATGGATAACTTAATGAGACAAGGGAAGTCTGAGGAGATTTCAGCTTTCTGGGAAAGAGACGAGTTCCTCCAGCAGGTCAGGTTTGACTAGCCAGGGCTTCTGTTACAGTAAGCTCGTTAAAGTGTTCTGTTATTCCAACAACATCAAAAAATTGAAACTTTTGTGACCTGGAAAATTTTCTCAGTTTTCTGCTCTGATGGTGGGATCCTGGGCCATGCCCAGCTAGCTCAGGTCTGCGAAACAGCCAGTATACACCGGAGTGAAAAGTTTAATATTTTCAAATCCATGACCTTCATGTTTTTAAATGTTAAATCATAATGTCACATTAGCATAGTGCTTTATTCTGAATTTTAGCTAATTAAATCCTAGGGACTCAGAGGAATGGCTACTATAAAATCATTTTCTTTTTCAGTTTAGTTGCAGAAGGATCTCAGCTGTTTCCAAGAGCCAAGAGAATTTTTATTGTCATTTGATCTCTTATTGCCATCATTTTTGGATGTTTTATTTGTAGATCTTATGAACTGTTTGTACCTTTGGAAAATGTTAATGGAACATGTACAGTCATGTCTTTTGTCATAAATTACCAGTATATTACCTTATTTTTTTTAAATTTTAGTTTAGTTTTATTTGTTCTATCACCCTTTATACCCTCTATGCCCTCTTCCGCCTTCATCTCCACTCCCCATTACCAATCCCTGCCAATCACCACAGTGTTGTCCATGTCATGAGTTCTCTCTCTTTTGCCCATTTTGTCTTCAGCAGAGCTAGAATCAGAGCCATTGCCCAGAGTTTCTGCTCCATATGAAAGTGCAGTCCAGCATCTGGCTAGGTTAGCTGTGTTCCCAGCTGCAGTCCATTGTGTGAGGGGTTTGCATCGCTGTGCACCATGGGGCTACTTAAGGCCACATGGCTGTGAAGAAGAGGCAAGTGCACAGTTCCAGTGGGGGTCATGGAGCAAGAGAGAGAACAAGAACAAGAGCAAACAAGAGAGAACAAGAGCAAGAGAGAGGGAACTTTTTGTCTGGGGATTTTTACTCTCCAAGGTTTTGCACACTTATGATGGGGTCCACTACCTAGCCAATTCATTGTCCCCCAGGCTAGACTGACAGGCAAGCATCTCCGCTGTGCCACCCCGACTTCTACTGTGCGTGTTCATGTCTCCCCATGCTCCCCCTGAAATACAATCCAATACAGGAGGTGGGAAGGGAAGGGTGTTAATCCCCTTGGAGGGACAATGTTGCGGTTCCCTGGGGTGTGAAGCTGTAGCTTCCTGGTGGAACAAGCAGGCCTCTTCTTCCCAGCTGAATATGCTCAACCATGCCTGACTTCCCCCTTTGCTTTCTTTCCTTTTATTAATATTAATAATTGGCTAATTACGATGATAACAATAGGGCAACTCTATCCTATTGAGGAAGTTTACCTTCTGAGGAAGTGCCAAACTGTTTTGACAAATTGCATCATTTTAATTTCCCACCAACAGTGTGTGACAGCTTCAGTTTTTCCACATCCTTCATAATGCTTGTTACTGTCTGTATTTTTTATTTTTGCCAACCCAGGGATGTGAAGTGGTATCTTGTTTTGATTTGTGTTTCCCTAATGACTGCTGATGTTGACTTTTTTTTCATGTGCTTATTGGCCATATGCTAGTCAGAGGATACACATGTGTGTGCATGTTCTTGGAGAAATGTTTATTTGCATGTGCTGCCCATTTTTCATTGGCTTATTTGCTTCTCAGTTGTTGAGTTGTAAGAATCCATGTTTTCTAAAAATCATGGGCAGGTAACATTAATACAGATAATCCTTGTATGGGCAATAGGAAACCATAGGGTAAGCAGCTGACACACCTAATTGGACTGAACATTGCAGCTTTTACTTTGAAATGCATGAATTGGTTTTGTATAGAGCTTCACTCTTTTGGTAAACAAATAAGGCAGTATGGTTCAATGCTGATTTAATGGAATTAGCTTTGGCACATTTATCCTTCCTTCACCAACTCTAATATTACCAAGTTCATCCTCCTGTACACTACCATTAAGTGTAAGTGCTCTTTGCCCTCTTCCCTCAGATCACCTCTTATCTCAAGCTACCTTCCTTCTTTGGAAGACCTCCTTCAATCCTATGATGATATAGCTTTAGCCCTAATCTCCTTTCCTCGGCTCCAGACTCATACCTCCTGTTGTCTATAAGACTTTTTCTTCTGGATTTCCATTAAGTACTTTAAACTTAATATATCCAAACTTCAACTTATGAACAACGTTTTTCTGTGTTCCTGATTTATAGACACCATAGCTCAGTCACTCAAGTGTATGGAAACCTATGAACTTCTTAGGCTGGGCTGCCTGATCATGAGCCCCTGGGCAGATTTTGATTTCATAGTTCTGGGACTGGCCAGTGAATAAGAACGTTGTAATTTCCCCAGTTGCTTTTCATTCGGGAGACTACTGTAAGAGATGCTGGAGTGGAAATATTTCAGTTTCCCCTACCTCTCCTCTGCCCCCAATCACTCCTTTTTATTTCCCGTTGCTTCTGCTGTAGTTTGGTTTCTTGTCATATCAGTGGACTTCTACATCATCTAACTCCTTTGGGTCCCATGCCTATTCATTCCTTCTTCCACATCCAACCAGAGTTGGGGTGTGGCCTACTATTACTGTTTACCAATATCCACATCTTCTCTCCAGGGGAGGATTATTCTTTGTTGAAGAAGTGTATCTTTGTCATGTGGCTAGCTTTTGTCAATAAAATGTGGTGGTAAATAATGTATGTCACTTCCTATTGCATTGCCTCACTCTTTTCTCTCTGCCAGTAGATTGTTATTGATATTCAAATAGTGATTGCTTTGTCTGATGGTCTCACTATGAAGATGATGACAATGTCAAAAAGAGCCCTTAGCCAATCTGCAGTAAATTCTAGCATGGGCGGTAGTAAACCTTTGTTCTTCTGTGCCGTGGATAATTTGGGGTTGCTTGTTATCACAGCATGTCCCAGGACTTAAAACAATGCCTGGCATTTGGTAGGTATTCATTAAATACTTCATAAATGAAAGAACTTGAACAATGCACTTTCCAGGTGTTTCAAACTGCAATACTCATATTCTCCATCTTCCCATCCTCAATGTGGTCCTGGGCTAGTGAATTTGTAGCAGGGGATAGATGCACCATTGTCTTAAAGCAATAATTTTTCTAAAAGACTTTTGAGGGAAAGAAAACATTTTATAAATAAGATAGACATGTATATGATATGGAATAGAACACAAATCTTACACAAATTTTAAAAAGAAAAATACACATCTTAAACATTTTCATGACAATAGGGTACTAGTATTGCTTTAAGCCACACTCCCAAGACCCCTTGGAAATGTTTGAGAAGCCTTGATAATCTCTTGAGTCTGGTTTTTCCTCTTTGAAATACAATGTTTGGACAAGAGCAGAGATGTCAAAGGCTTTTTAGGAGGGCTGCCTGGTGTGAGCAGCAAAGAAGTGGGAGCCAGCAGCTGCGGGCTCCAGCACTTGCTTTGCTGCTAAATAAACATAGAACTCTGTCAAGTCATTTAAGCTATGAGAACAACAAATTCAGGGAAAGATGTACTCACACTTCTGCTGTCTGTCCCACTAAATTGTTTTCTTTAAGGAATTATATTTTTGAAAATATTTTGAAAATAATTAAGCTCTGTTATTTCAATGGAAAATTCTTGCAGTCTTCAAATTAGAAGATTTTATTTATATTGTTATTCCACTGGGTGGCAGTATTTCATTGTACTCTACTATAACTTTACAGTTTGTATATAACCCCATGGAAAAAAATTTAATCAACATCGCATTCTCTCCTAATCTTATATTTCCCCTTTCCTATTCCATGCTTTCTCTATCTCCCAAAACAAATTTGGGAAAGTGTTATCATTAATTTAAAAAAGAGTTAATGACTCTTTTTTAATGACTCTTAGGGACAGTCTCCCTAAGTCTGAGCAATTTTTCCTTCATTTGGGAAGAAGTGTTGGATAGCTTAATTTTGCTCAGATGTGAGCAAATTACTTTGCTGTAGATAATTAAAATTAGTTAAAAATCTCTACAAAGATCTTGCCTTTGACTTTTTTGTGTGAATGCTTTAACAATTATTTTTATAATGAATTCATGTAGACATTTTTGACTGATAATACTAGTGATGCTTGTTTTATTTTAAAGATTTAAAAGTTGTTAGGCTGAATATTTTGATGTCTATGACATGTTTGACAAGTATTTTACCATGGTCCCATATCCGTTTACTTTGTGTCAGGATTTCTTTGAGAATAAATTTCACAAATTGAGAATGAGAAAAGTATGCTTGTAAATATTTATAAGCGATTCCTTGCTAACTTCTGTTGATATTGAGGTTTCAATATAAGTGATGGCCTAGGTCTATTAGAGTAGTCTTGTCCTGTAGAGTGGAAAAAAATTAAAAATCTTTAGCGATGTAATGGATTACTTGTTTTCACTTGTAAGAAGACCACTGATGCAATTTTTAAACTGCCCTAGTCTCTACATTCTATACAAGAAGGCAGCTGCTTTGAAAGACATGGCTGTTGAAAGGTTGTTTATAAAACTTCATACATAGAGAAATCTTTGTTTTTAAATGGCTGACACTTGATAGAAAATTTTAATTGTTTTGTGCCAAATAAATCTTTGATGTTTTCAGGGAGGAAAAAAGAAAAAGTTGTATAAAAAAGTAGATGTCTACATTTCAATTGGTATCTTAATGAAAATTTTATATCTTTCTCTTATGGTCGTAACTGTGAATCGCATTTCCTCTCTTCTAACGTATGGAATAATGATAAGGTGTATGC